ATTTTACTAGTCTTTCAAACTTTGTTACCGGCTGTGTATAACAAAAGAATTGTGTACTGTACCTGGTATCTTGCACATACCTAATTGAATTAAAACACCAACTCCTATAACCTATGCTAAATCCACAGACCACATAAATTCTTTCTTCTGTGGCTAAATCTATATTTAGCATAGGGTCAATTCGTCAAGGCTTAATTTAGCTATAAGTTGTCAAGCTATAAAGAGCGAATGTTTTGGTTTCGGTTCGTAATATTAAATTTCGCTACTAGGACGTCCCGTTACATTTGGGAGACGGACGTTAACATATGTCTGTGTGCGCACTAATACGTTCTGTCTTGTGACTAATATATCTTCATTTTGTATTTATTGGCAAAGACCTTTCTAGTTTCATTCGGGCAAACTGTAGTCTGTAATGGTTTCAATTTGTCAGGCCTGTTTCAAAGCACTAAATTAATCTTATTTTATAGGGTTTTGTCGCTTATATTTCATTGTCCATAGCTACCTAAAAAGTTTTAATTCTTCCACTTATATTAGAATAAATTTGAACAAAAAAGTTCAAACATTAAGCAATCTGGGGGTTGATACTCGTGCGCGGCAACATTTGCTCGATTTGAAAATACGGTCTAGTGAGAATGTCAAAATACTTTATCGTTTTATAATAATATGTGCTAGACTACCCTACGATTTGCCTGGTCTCAAACTAGGATATTTCCTGTACTATCAGTACCAGAGCAATGGAACTCCGGGGCACTTCTCAGAGCACCCAGACTAGGGCCAATATAGAAAAGTTATTTTCCCAAATTGGTTCTACTGGGAATGGAACTCGGGACCTCCGCATCCAGTGCCTACAATGTAATAACCGTTAGGCTACCGAGGTCGCCAATTTTATTTCAAACATGATGTTTATTATAATAATTTTATTTATAGTTTTGCACTAAAGTTTTCTTCGTGTTAGAAAGTAATTAATTATTTATTTCATAACGAAAAAGTAGAACACAGTATAACTATTTCGGAACCGTTAGTTCCGGAAATGAATATGTCTATACACCCTTTTCAATAGTTTTTTGTATTATTTTGGAAGAAACCCTTATTCAGGATTTCGTTGGGCCGAAACCGCAATCTGCATATATAATCCTTTTGTTTTTATTGATTGTATTCAAAACGTAATCGATGCAGAATTTTTTGCACATACTGCAGCAATTGTCTAATTTAAACTAATGAAAATAACTACACATGCGGAAATTAATCGTTGTTTCAAAATAAAGTCTTTATAGACAAATTTATGTCGACATTTTACCATCTTGGCTTCGACATTTTGATTTCTACTGCCTCCTTCATGTCTTTGTATATTAAGTATCGAGGGTCAGTCTGAGTCCGTTGTAAGATTCTGATAATACTAAAAACTGTTTCCGTTCGACATCCACCATGTTTTTTCGACTTTTATTGTACGAGAATTAGGCCTAACGATGACGCGCAAAAACACAGTAACATTAGAGCGTCATTCATGGCGATTTTATTTAGATCCATCTACATATGGAAAACAAAGTCTCTTCTCTATTTTCATTAACTCTGTCACTTCTGTGTTGTCCTCAAACTTCCATTTCTATGCCGACGATTTGCAGCTCTACTGTAGTTTTAAAACTTCCGATATCGTGCAGTCGTTGAAGCGGTTAACGCTGATTTAAGAAACAATGCTCATTGGGCTGAGTCTTTTGGCTTGTTGGTTAATGCCAAAAAGTCGCAGGCCATGATTGTGCGAAGTGAGCATAAACGTGGCCTTTTGGACATTGATTCTGTCAAAATTATACAGTATAATTCAACGCCCATTGTCTACACTTCTACTGCTACCAATCTAGGTCTGCTTGTGGATTGTAATTTAACTTGGACTTCACATATTAATGAAGTCAGTCGAAAAACCCATTTCTCCTTGCACTCGCTTAAGCGCCTCCAAAACTTTATGCCTTTAAAATCCAAGATCTGTTTAGCTCAATCTCTTATATTACCGTTCTTAGACTGCAGAATCCTGCTATTTAGGCGCTACTGAAGAACTGCTAAATAACCTTGAAAGGTTGCAAAATCTATGTATAAGGTTCATCTTTGGCCTTCGTAAATTGATCGAATCTCACACTATCGCAATCAGCTCAAGTGGCTTCCCATTCTTCTCCGTAGTAATTTGCATATCGTCTCTCTTCTTTACAACATTCTACATAATCCTTTGTCTCCCAGGTATCTGAAAGAGCCTTTCAGCTTTCTCAGATCCCAGGATAAGCCTTGTCGCTCTCTCGCTAGGTCCCAATTATCTTTTCCATCATTCAATTCCGGTTTTTATTCTCACTCCTTTACTGTTCATACGGTCAGACTTTGGAACGCACTTCCCATTGCTGTACATGCCAGTAAATCCTTAGCTATCTTTACAATGAGAGTCAAGGAGCACTATTTATCCTCTGTTCCATCAATTTTATAGATATTATAATATGAAATATGTATTTATCTAAGTATTTATACAGTCTGTAGTAATTTAATATTTTTGCTGTTCTTTTTTTTATTATTATTTTATTACATAATTTAATTTTGTTTTGTTGTGCACGTAAACCCGTTATCGTAATTACTGTGTCCTGTATTTTCGTCTGCCGGAAGAAATTTCTTATAGAAATAAGCAGTACCTTTTGTTTGTGTTTTCCGTTTTACCAAATGTGATTTGTGTTTTCCTGTACAATAAATAATTAAATAAATAAAATAAATAAAGTCTTAGCACTTTTCACGGAGAATTAAATGAGACAGACACCTCTCACATTACAGTACTGGCACGCTATGATGGCCGTTTTAACATAGTACAATAGTGAGGTCAAATCTGAATTCATTATCGAGAAAAATGTAATCAAATGCGAGTCGAGTATTGCAAGAGGTAGCTGATTAAAAAGTTTTAATCAAACGAAAATAAAAATGTTTACTTAATATATCGTCAATTAGAAACAGCTTGTTTTGCATTGTGCTTTGACGCGAGTTTGCCAGAGGTCATCGAGTATATAACCAGAAATAGAGACGAAATAAGGGCCATATATTCCTGGTAACACATTAGCTATACAGCTTTTATAAATATCAACCCTCGTTTGCACTGATATATAGACAGGCCAACTACTGACCTGTGTGTACGTCTCCGTATATTCCAAAAAATATTCTGTATTTATTGTAATAAAGATAATATCTCTAACAATGCCGTGCTGCTCTATTCGGTGGTGTGGGAAAAACAGCAAAACATCTAGTTACAAAACAAACGGAATCACATTTCATCGGTAATTAAATATTAAATATGTAATTTTGCAATTTTCGTCCATTATAGCAAAGCTCAAGTTAACTGATCGATATGAAGTGAAACAATTGACGATACTCATTGACGACACCCGTCAATTGTTTCGAACTCACAGTGATGATATGGCAGAATAGTTTTCAAACAAATCAAATGACATTTCGTCTCTATTTCTCGTTATATACTCGATGCCATAGGTAGAAGTTGTGCTGGCCAGCGATCCCATACGTGACGATCGTATTAGATTCCAAATTCAAATTTCGAAGAACAAGTTGTATCACTTTTGACAACAATGTACAGCTATTAGTTCCTTCAACGTAGTTATGAATTAATACGAAACTTGATGAGCGGACAAACGTCAAAACGGCCATCATAGCGTGCCGGTACTTTAACCAACCGAAATCTATGAATGATATAAAAATTTCGATCATCAACATTTCTTCGAGCAAAGGTGTGTAAATATTCTTTCATGTTTTCTTTGTTTTGATCGAAATCGTCCACACACCTATGTCGTATCGTAATAATCCATACCTATTATTGAAATAAAAAACATTATTCCGTACATCTTTCCATTTACACCCACAGACGAGAAACTTCTGACTGGCCTGTCATGCGGAGGAAAGTATGTCATGGGACGATAAGAGTATTAGTTGTGAATATGGACGGGTATAAGGGGAGAGGAATGCCAAAGAAAAGATGGATGGATTGTGTGAAAGATAACATGGATAAAAAAGGTATGGTATGGGTAATAGGTATGGAAATAACTGCTGATAGGGGAGAGTGGAAGAAAAATACATGTTGTGCCGATCTCACCTAGCGTGCGATAAGGACAGGAAGAAGAAGACGACGAGAAACTTCTAAAAGCCATTTCTGGTCATAAAAATTTGTTTCGATTTATTTTTATAGACTCAGCTCTATAGAAATAAATCGATTAATCCAGTATACAGTCAATTAGTGAGATTCAATGCCGTATATAAATTTAACTTGATTATTCGAATCTTCTTCTTTTCGTATCGATAACATACACTGTCATGATTGCCATCATGGTGAAAGAATATACCAATCGACATGAGGTACCTACTTGCCGATTGATGCCCAGGGTGCGCTAGACGTATGTGATGTCATGCGCCTGGTGGAAAGTTATACGCTTGTCCTTGGCAGTTGCAGTACCACTCAGAGCTTTAAATCGCAAAGACCTGAGGGGTGCCATCGCGCCTTTCACCCTGAGAAATAAGTTGACAAGTCTCACATGCCTGTAATTTCACCACCCTTCAAAACCGGAACACAGTTCACTTAACTGCTTGGCGGCAGAAATAGGTAAGGTAACAATATATATACTGCTACTATAGTGCTACAGTTTCAAAAGTATAGTGTAAATCTTTAAAATAATTAACATTTTTACTAGTGTTTTGTAACTGAGTTGCAATCTGGACTTTAGTAAAAGTTAGTTGTAAAGTTGAGTACCTTGTTTGTTTTATTTTTAAAATAACGGGTACTTGTGAGTTAATGTTGTTGTGCTATCTAGGGATGTAATACACACGAGCTTAATTCCTACTTCGCGCTACACGCGAACTGTACTAGCAGTCGGTCGTTGTAATGTCATTGCGATGCGATGGCGTGCAGTTATTTCGACTTCGTTCAAACTGCTTTAGAAATTTGAGGGAAAACTGACTTGTTTCGTATTAACGCCATAATGAATATTTCAGATGAACCGCGGTTTGCCGTCGAGGGATCAAACGTGACAGTTGTGGTAGGGAGAGACGCCGCCCTTCTCTGTACCGTTGAAAACTTGCACAACTACAAGGTATATATAACATCACTTAATTATTTCTATGAAATATTGTTACTGTCATGTACACGAATAAAAATTCCTTCCGCCCAACAGGAGTGAGAAGATTCATAAATCTCTCACAAGGTGTCACTTACGGCATTGAAAGCCGAAAAAACATAATACTAGGATCTACAATAGACACGGAAGAATTTCGTCTATCTGCTGATTCAATCTGGAGCTCAGTCGGCAGAGCGACGCCACGGTAGAGCATGGTCCCAGGTCGAAGGAATTTTTCTTTGTGTTCGATCTTTGTATTAATAATTCTAACAAACTAGTGGAGTTATTTCACAAAAAATATATGAATAACACGGTGGAAATACAATGTGAAATTCTATTTAAAAAAATCAATACATAATATAATTACTGTATTTTCAGAGTCATAAGGACTATAATAATTTAGCACTTTACTTACGACTTACGAATTACGTATTTAAGGCCACGTGTGATCATACGTCAAAAGTGCTTTCATCACACGAAAGTCATGAAAATAATGCGAACTAAATGACTAAAACCATGTATATGTGAAATTTTATAGCTCTCCTATATGCATAAAAAAACATGGACTAATTTCGTATAATCTTCTTACCTCTCTCCTGAATAATTGTCATTCTGCAGACGTGGCTTTATTACCAAAGGTACGATAAAATAGTTATTGAGGAACTACTAATCTACTAGAAATTGCACTAATCTGGCAATCGCAGGTTATTGAAAACCAAAAGAACCAATTCCAAAACAGACAAGCACTTGCGCTGAACCACATTCTTTTTCAACGTTACTTATTTTCTATGCAATGAGAGCTACTTTAAAATTGCGAAAATTGATGTCACGTTCTGTAGACAAATTCGATAGTGAATGTTTCAAAACAGGAGCTTTAACATAAATGCACTTAGTTACATATTTTGTTGAATTGTATAAGACAATAGTGTACAAAATTTGTTGTAATTTTGTGTCCCTGTTTCATTTAAAAATATTTTTTATTTTCACAATCGCTCCATTAAAAGAACTGTAACGTACAACGCAATCGAAAAGACAGGCAGACAAGGGTGTGTCGTTTCGCAGATATGGCCTTATTACAGCACGAGTGCGATTTATATTTATTATAAAAAAAAACTACTTTTTCACAACGAATATGAACATTGTAAAGTTTCTTATATTTCAAGTACGCGGCCTAATACTTTTAAGGTCTAATACATTTAAAATCTGGAAAATTGAAAACGACCAAATTTAATTAAGGATCATAGTTGCATGATGAAATATCATAACAATTGCTGCTTGATTTAATACTTTAAATTCCTTTGTTTTTATGTCCAGTATACGAATATGAATTAAAAAAACTACAATGACACGGGAGTAAAATTTTATTTAACAATATTCCTTTATTATCTCGCTCTCGAATTGAGAAGCTGATTGTTCCATTTCATTTAAAATCCATCTTATACTCGAACTTTAGTTGCGCTCGTGACGCGCGTGCAGCTGAATATCTCGTGTTAAATGCAAAGTTTTACACCTTTTTTATAAAATTCTACTTTTTCTTTTAATTCCGCAATATGGCGAGGGTCTCAATACTACTTGTCAACCTTTAACAGTGATAGAGGTTTCGTATATTGCCCATCAGACTTGCGGTCGAAGAAAATCGGAATCACGCCCATGGGATCTGTCACGTACAGAGCAATTTTAGCAAAGCAGTTTCAAAAGAAATTTCATGGCCCTGTCTCTACTAAGGAGTATAGCCTATATATATTTTGATAAAGGACGACAATTTACTATTGAACTCTGTAATTTTAGCATTATATAGCTACATAATATATTTCATATTGTCAAAAACATTGTATGGCGAGGGCACAGGTGCAAATAGCTCGCGTTTTTAATAAAACTAATACAAAACCCGTAAAAACTACACAACGTGTAGGTCAAATACTAATTTCCATAACGAAAGGTCTTCACATCTGTAAAACAAATGGACGACACTTGCCAGTATGGCATAAGATAGGCAATACTAGCAACTCGTATGAGTTGTGTGATTCTCTATTTACTGTAAAGTGCAACGTGTAACAAATATTATTGACTTCAGAGTTCAAGGAAGGCGAGATAACGAAAGACTGCAGACAAGGGTGAGCCCTAAAGTTCCGTGAAATTGTTATGGAGTGATTCTACCCGTTAGTAGGAACAGTTTTTACTGTGGGACCGCCCCTTTGAAATTGCGGGAAAATGTCAGCTGTTATTTATATTTGGGTCGATTAAGTGTGATATATATAAATTCTTGGATAAATAGGTATTTACTTTGTAATTCTGAGTCAGTTATCCTATTATTTATGGGACTTGTCAACTTATGTCTCAGGTTGACGGGCGCAGTGGCAGTGCCCTCAAATCTTTGCGATTTGGGGCTCTGACTGGCACTGCAACTGTTAAGGACATGCGTGTAGCTTAACCGGCAGGCGCACGACTTGTTCGTCCCGTCTCTTGATATTATAAAAAAAATTATTTAAAGAATAACGTTTAATATATAAGGTTTTTTTGTAATTTTTATTAAATTTTAATTTTTTTTGTAAAAATAACGATAACAAGATATTTAATTTACCTATACTATGACAAAATTGTATTCTCTGCATTTGAAACTTGGTATGAATACTGTCCAAATCAAAATCAAACACAACGTATTTTTTCAAAACTACGTTAAGGGGTTATTCAACATCAACCCATTTATACGTTCCACTGCTGGGCACGGGTCTCCTCTCAGCCGAGGGTCTAGGCTATAGTCCGCCATGTTGGCCGAATGCAGGTTAGAGACTTCACACGGTTTCCGAGTGTGGCGAATCTTCTTCCACGTGCAGGTTTCACCAGGATGTGTTCTTTCACCGAGGTGAATTTGACGCTGTAAACTAAAAGCCCGGGAAGGGGTTATTATGATAAATAATAAATTATTGTAAACATAGATCACCGTATAAACAGATAGGTTATGTACTGGAGGTGGGAACTTTATTATAGGATAAGGAGTATATTTAATTAACAATCAAATGGTTCGTTCCACTATGCTTCATCTTATCTCGAACGAGGTTTATCTAAGACCATGTAAATAAAATAGATAAATCCTGAAAAAATATTTCTTCGTTTAGTTCGTCTTAATAACAAAATGTTGAACAAGCTTCGTGACTTAAATTGTCTGAAGAAAAAACCTTTCAAAGATAAATTACGCGCGGCCAAGAAAGCAAGAAGACATAAAAGTAATTACTCACTAATTCAGTAAGTAGTGTAAACGGAAATTCTTTGATTAATAAAAACACATGAATGTACAGAATAAATGACAAAAAAGAACTAAGAAGAGAGAGTTAGTAATTACGCAAAAATAACAATGTAGGTCCAGTATCAGAAAGTAGTTCTACATTATTACACCTGCGAGACTCACCGTGTCCAACTCCATTAGTTACGTTAATAGTTCCAATAACTCATTTCCTGGCGTAATGCGTTTCCATTCAGTTACGTAGAGGTCCTTTTAAAGGTAGACACAGATTAAACGGAAGGCACGCTTAGCACGCTACGAGTTTTACTACACCTTTATATAATTTAAACTTGCTTACTATTGTTTTTAAACTATTTTTTCCGATCTAAATCGCCTATATTTGTTTTCTTTTTCTAATAAACCAACGGGACTTTTACAGATCCCATGGTCATGACTGAGAGATATTTATGTAGTTATAAAAACGTGCTTTCATTTCCTATGTGTAACAATTGCGAAAACCTAAGAAATCGATGTACGCTTAATATAATTTAAACTTGAAATTCCATAACTGATGGTTATGGAATTTCATGAACATAAAAGATGGTTTTGCCAAAATACCTACTGGTACATTACGCTTAATAATTCTCCAATCTTATTTGCGGAATTTTAGTTGAATCAATAAATTTGTTGCTATAATTATTGTGTTTGATGGTTTTACAAAGAAACAAGTTACATTTATCACCTTGAACAACATTTTTATTATTTCATCACTTTTTTTCTTACTGTAGCTGCCTCTAACCAATTTTAGAGCTTGTAGCGTTTTATAACTGCCTCCGTGGCCGAACGGTTACCATGCCGGACTGCCACGCAGAGGTCCCAGGTTCGATTCCCGGGCCGGGAGAAATACTTGTATGGCCTACATTTATTTCTCTCGTGAGTTTGGGTGTAATTTGTGGTTGTCTATGTGTGTGTCCATGGCACCCGCGACACAGGGTTTCCCTAGTGCGGGGCTATGTTGATTGAAAGCGTTATTATTAAAAAAAAAAAATAATAATAATAGAATTGATTTCAATGACATACTTAATTCATTAGCGAGGGCCTCAAGCCGCGACGCTCCTAGAGAATTCGCTTATTGCTACAAGCGTCAACGTCGAGCGTCAATTGCAAATATGATATTATTTATAAAAGGAAATAGAGCGAACTTGCACGAGCGCTACGCGACTTTTTTGCGGACGACCAAAGCAAATTATACGAGGGAGTTCCATAGTGTGCACGAAACTGTCGCTCCGCTGTTGAAACAAATTATTTTGGTTTTATTTGTTGTTTGGTTACTACTGAGAGCAAATAGTTATTAATACATATTTAAAGTATATTCCACCAAAAATATTAAACAATATTATATATTTAATTCGTATAAGAGTTGTACTTAACTACCTTCCACCACCGAAGGCGCTGTAAGCAAATTACCAAACTCCCTGAGTGTATTTTGACGCTTTAAAATTGACGCTTCAAGCGTGGCCATATTTTCGTAGCCGAGGCATTACAAATTTAGTACTACATATTCAACATAACTACAGTTGTCTACGTCCACTTTCTGTTCTGTGATATGGCAAAAAAGGCAGATATGGTTACTGCCTACACTCCATAGACACTAGCGACATCACTCAGCAATAAGTTGGTGACACTGTCCATCAAATACGCGACTATATAATACGCGATAACTTACAAATACTTTGAAATAATACGTTTCAAGAGA